AACTCAAAGAAGATGATTTAACATTTAAGCACATGACACGCTAGAAGGGAAAGTGAAAGGAAAAAAGAAAGGACAAGGAAAGGATACGAAAGGAAATGTCAGGAGCATGATGGGACTTGAAAAGAAAGCGAACAGAAAATGAAAGGAATCGAAACAAGAACCTTCTAGGTGTGAATGTGTCTGGTAACTAAACAAGGGTCATGTCACATGTCCCTAAAACCACCTTTTCAAGGAGATTGTCAATGTAAATGACAAAAGGCTGAGCAGAGTTAGAATGTGCCCAATACATCCAAATATTGAACTCGTGGCCGAACCATGCAAATGTATGTGTGGGAGCCTTTAGTGAGGGGTTTGCAGGCTAAGACTGGCTGAAAGGAGGTAAAGGAGGGAAAGGAGGGAAAATGAAAGGAACGTGCAAGAAAATGAAATGAATTGAAAGAAACATGAACAAAACCAAAAGAATATTACAGGGAATTGCATGGAAACACACACACACAGACAAACGGAAAGTGGAAGGAACAATGAAAGCAATGGAAGCAAAACAGAAGGGGAAAAAGACAATGCAAGGAAAATGACAGGGAACGAAAGGAACGTGAAAAGGACATAAAAGCCAGTTATTTGCATGGGAAATGGAACGACATGTTCAGAGTCGGAAGGTCTGTTAACGTATGATGACCATACTAGGGTCGTGTCGCCCAGACCTTTTTGTTACTTAATCATGAAGATTGTCACTGGAATCACTGGAAATGAGAAAAGGGTGACCAGAGTTAGAATGTGCCCCATACATTCAAATATTGAACGCGTGGCCAAACCATACAAATTTATGTCTTGGAGCCTTTAGTGAGGGATTTTGCATGCTAGCACTGGTTGCTGATTGCTGCGGTTTCTGCTGGGTTCCTGCAAGATTTGGGTAACAGATCAGGTGAAAACGTTGTTTCTAAAGACATGTTCGTGGCTAATGTGTTTGTGATATCTTTTCGTTTTTTGTTGTTTGCAAGGAGCATGAGAGAACACTTCTCACGCAAAGACAATGAATGGGAAATCAAAGGAACATGAGCAACAACTCACAGAAGATGATTTAACATGTAAGCACATGACACGCTAGAAGGGAAAGTGAAAGGAAAAAAGAAAGGACAAGGAAAGGATACGAAAGGAAATGTCAGGAACATGATGGGACTTGAAAAGAAAGCGAACAGAAAATGAAAGGAATCGAAACAAAAACCTTCTAGGTGTGAATGTTTGTTGACTAAATTAGGGTCATGTCCCTAAAACCGCCTTACAATGGAGATTGCCAATGGAAATGACAAAAGGCTGAGCAGAGTTAGAATGTGCCCAATACATCCAAATATTGAACTCGTGGCCGAACCATGCAAATGTACGTGTGGGAGCCTTTAGTGAGGGGTTTGCAGGCTAAGACTGGCTGAAAGGAGGTAAAGGAGGGAAAATGAAAGGAACATGCAGGAAGACGAAATGAATAGAAAGAAACATGAACAGAATCAAGAGAATATTACAGGGAATTGCATGGAAACACACACATACAGACAAACGGAAAGTGAAAGGAACAATGACAGTAATGGAAGCAAAACGGAAGGGGAACAAACAATGCAAGGAAAATGACAGGGAACGAAAGGAACGTGAAAAGGACATAAAAACCAGTTATTTGCATGGGAAATGGAACGACATGGTCAGAGTCGGAAGGTCTCATATGATAACGTATGATGGCCATACTAGTGTCATGTCGCCCAGACCTTTTTGTTACTTCATCATGAAGATTGTCACTGGAAATGAGAAAAGGATGACCAGAGTTAGATTGTGCCCCATACATTCAAATATTGAACGCGTGGCCAAACCATACAAATTTATGTCTTGGAGCCTTTAGTGAGGGATTTTGCATGCTAGCACTGGTTGCTGATTGCTGCGGTTTCTGCTGGGTTCCTGCAAGATTTGGGTAACAGATCAGGTGAAAACGTTGTTTCTATAGACATGTTCGTGGCTAATGTGTTTGTGATATCTTTTCGTTTTTTTAGTTGTTTGCAAGGAGCATGAGAGAACACTTCTCACGCAAAGACAATGAATGGGAAATCAAAGGAACATGAGCAAAAACTCACAGAAGATGATTTAACATGTAAGCACATGACACGCTAGAAGGGAAAGTGAAAGGAAAAAAGAAAGGACAAGGAAAGGATACGAAAGGAAATGTCAGGAACATGATGGGACTTGAAAAGAAAGCGAACAGAAAATGAAAGGAATCGAAACAAGAACCTTCTAGGTGTGAATGTGTCTGGTAACTAAACAAGGGTCATGTCACATGTCCCTAAAACCACCTTTTCAAGGAGATTGTCAATGTAAATGACAAAAGGCTGAGCAGAGTTAGAATGTGCCCAATACATCCAAATATTGAACTCGTGGCCGAACCATGCAAATGTATGTGTGGGAGCCTTTAGTGAGGGGTTTGCAGGCTAAGACTGGCTGAAAGGAGGTAAAGGAGGTAAAGGAGGGAAAATGAAAGGAACATGCAAGCAAATGACATGAATTGAATGAAACATGAACAGAATCAAAAGAATATTGCAGGGAATTGCATGGAAACACGCACACAGACAAACGGAAAGTGAAAGGAACAATGAACGGAATGAAAGCAAAAACATTTTATATTTGATTTAAAATATAATAATATACATATATATATAATATATATATATATACCATGAACATGGCCGGGTGGGAGGTGGGTAGGAACGCTGGCCCATATATTATATATATATATACACACACACTTACGTAGTAATTATAGTATATTATAGTTTTAGATCAAAAAACACATACGTATATATATATATATATATACTGACGGACAACGAGTTAGAGTTAATAGATTTGCATGGAGGGTCTTGGGTTGTGTTTTCCTGTGATTTATGCAATGATATCAAAGATGAAGTCTGAGAGTTAGAATGTGGTTTGCACATTGGGCACCAAAGTTAGAATGACCCCTGGTAGCCGCATTCTAACACGAGATTTTGCCGCATTCTAACTTCGGTTGCTTTTAAAATTTTGGTAACATCACCCCATATTCTAACTCGTTGTCCGTCAGTATAATGCTTTTGAAGCTTCAAAATCAATATAAAAAGTTGGACAAAATACCTCTTTCTATTGATATCCACTTTGATTTTTATACTCATTTTCCTCTTTTTCTTATTGATTTTGAAGTCTCCAAAATCAATATTGTATATTGATTTTGTGGTTGGTTTTTGACATGGTTTTGGGGTCTGGGAATGTGTGCACTCTGCAGTTTTTGGCTTTCAAGTGAAACAGAATTGAATTCTTTAAAATATCTTCACCAATCCTTGCAAAAGGATAAGGGTCCTTGAGAAAGGACAGCAATCCTTGCAAAAGGAGTCCTTGGAAAAGGGCAGCAATCCTTGCAAAAGGATGGCCAGGGGTGGGCCCAATCATAAGGCCAAGGTTTACACTGACCCTTCCTTGCTTCTGCAGGTCTTGGGTCAGAAACCAGAGCTGGTGGCAGACCTTGGGCAGTATGAAACAGTCCGCAGGGCAGGGGCAGTAAACCCAGCTGGCTTGGTCAAGGTTGCACCCCTTGTGAAAAGGTTGTTGGCTGTTTGCCCCGCAGCCTCTGTTGCTCCAGGACCTTTGAGGCAGGCTTTGCATTGGGTAAAATTGCCAGTGTGGAAACACAGTACAATCATAATTGGATCCTTGGTTTGCGTTCATGGCAAGGATGGCTTTGGTGATTCCAACAGCTACGTGTCTTGCTTTCTTGGGTGGCAAAAAATAGGGACATTTAGGCACCAAATGTCTGCTTTTTAGCCTGGGTTTTTCAGAGATGATTGCAATCCCACTTTTGATCAGAGTGAGTCTTATTAAATCTTTCAGCTACACATCCATGCACTTGATTTGTTGGCCTTTCAATTCGAACTTACTGAAGTAAAGGAGTAATTATGTGACGCTGGTTGCCCGGTGGATTCACCTGTCATGTGAAAGAATTGGGCCCATGTTGCAAGGAATGGCACGAACGCCAAAATGTTTGGAACCTGGAGTGGCCTCAATGCAACAGATGGCACGCAGCAGGTGATCAATCATTTGCAGCAAGTGGCAGAGGCAACCCAGTGGAAGAAGGTAAAGCAACTTCTCAAACATGTTGACACGCCGGTGGTGGTCATTGCCTCCTGCAAAGCTATCCAAGCATTGCAGACCCTTGGCCAAGTAGCCGCAATTTGAATTTGCCTGATAGATTTTGTGCAAGGTTCCCAAGGTTGAACTTTAGCCCAAGCACTTGCCTGCCCCATGCCGACGTTTGCAGCGCTTGTCTAGGAATTTCTGCTTTCACTCCGGCAAGAGCAGCCTGGCCTGCAAAATGAGACGTTGGCAGGGGGAATGGCAAGAGATTGGCCTTGCTTATCGGCCTTAGGCAATTGGATCGGAGATGATGTTCCAGCATTGAAGCAGGAGGTCCAAGAAGCAGCCAAGGACACAAGGTCAGCATGTGGGTTGCTCTTTATTTTGTCAGCTTCTCTGAAATAATGCGTGGTCATTGCTAGGCGCAGCTGAAGGCCTTGGAAGCGACACGCGGGCAAGCATGAGGCCAGGCTTGTGGATCATCATCTCTTTGGCAATACTTTCATCCCACAAGCTCTTTCTTGCACTCGTCTGCCAAAGGCTGGCCAGAGCGTGGCAGCACTTGTTGCAGTATACTAGGCAGGAAGTGGGAGTGGATGAAGAATCATCATTGTAATTGAAAGCTGTCAGATGAAAATTGAAATTGTGCAATGCAGCAGGAGGATTGGCATGCTTCTGTGCCTACTTCTGTTGCAATTTCAGATCCAGGGGCCCTGGTCGAAATCATCAGTCTTTTGCCCACACTTGTTCAGGCTCAAAGTCCACGGTCCAGGGTCCATAGTCCAGGGTCCGCCGTCCAGAGTCACAGCTGAATTTGGATGAGTCTGCCTGCCGCCACGGCGACCTGGACAACAGTGGGTTGGGCAGCAATGACTGATGCTTCCTTCAAAGCTGCCAAGCAAGAAGCCAGCAGTGGAGAACCGTTCAGAAGGGGGCGGCTGCAGTACTTCTTCCCATGCCCCATGACAGCCATTTACGAATGCCGCAAGGCTGCTGTGCGTGAGCTGGGCGGCACGCTCACTGAAGGGCCTGTGCGCAAGAAGTCCCTGAAGAGCTGCCACTTGAAGGACATGGGGGGGGCACTGATGAGCCCCAACGTCATTGTTTTCGAGCTATTGACCAATGCCAACATTCCGACGTTGGTGCTTCTGGTGAGCCAGAGTCTTGCGGTTCCGAACTATCACCTCCCATTGTCTGAGTGCCCGTTTTTTCCCGGCCCTGATTTTGAAGACGTCTTCAAACTACAGGCCAAGCTACTCAACTGCAGCCAGCGCGTTTGAGTGATGAAGGTAGACGCGGCGTTATTTTTTAGGATTTTGTCTGTAGGTGCATTTAATATTATGTCCACAAATTATGTTTAATATGGGTAGCATCTCCGACATCATTCATTATAGAACATGTTTGTAATGCATGTACTGAATGCAGGAATGCCTAGTATATAACCACGTTCCCGTATTTGGTTGCTGTCACCCGTGTAATCTGTATTTGAAGGGCTGCATAAATTCTTTGCCCAATCGGCTTTTCTCTTATCATTGATGATGTAAAACGATAATGTGCAATTTGTATCAATGCAATATTTTTCCAAATTTGAATTTTAAAGAGCACTACGCTTGTTCTCCTTTTCTCACTTATAGACGTTTGCAATGTGATAAGGGTACGTCATTTTGGCGCTCAATTTCCAAGTCGGTCATTCTTAAGTATTAAATCAGCAATGCAATGAATGCACATACTTAAGCTGTTAACCTTTAGTTCAGGCAGGTGCAGCTGTCAATTGCTACCATTGGGGAATGATTCTCGCAACACGCTCCAAGGGAATGCACAATCTACCCCCGCCTTTGCGGTGACTGGGTGGCAGGGTCTACGGAGCCGATGGCCTCGCACAAAGCTTTCAACTTCCGTTACTATGTGGCCAACAATGACATTGCCAACGAAAATGCCCTGATGGAGGCAGACCCTGTTCCGTTGATGAGCTTGCTCCATCGCAACGACCCCTTGACAGAGAGCCCCTTCAAGACATACACCAACACGGGACCGTCTATCCCCTTGGCTTCATCTCAGCAAGTGGCCATGCACCTTGGCTTCTTTGCATACAAGTTGGCAAAGCTGAAGCTGGTGGAGCTTAGCTACACAGACTTGATCGCTGGTGCGGCCCCCTTTATGCATCCTATGGGCGCCTTCTGGGTGATCCGGATGGATGTCCTTGCAACCATACTGCATGAAGGCCGGATGCAGATTCAATATGCTCTGTGTGAGATGTCCTTGACATGGACCGGCGACGCAAAGAGCACAGAAGACTTGGTCAAGGAGGCCCAGAAGCTGAACTTGCGGAAACGCGGTTTGGACCTGCAAGCCGAAATTGCTGAGTTGAAGGATATTGTTGAAACGAAGACAACCGAGCTAGCAGAGGTGAATTCCCAGTTAAACAAGCCTAAAGAATAGGCAAAGTCCAGCTCGCACGATCCAAGGTCCATGGATAAAGGTCCATGGACCAGGGTCCAAGGTCCATCGCCGGGTCAGATGCAGTTTTGGCTGAAGCTTTCAAGCGGTAGAGAAAAAACATTGTTTGCCGAGCTTGCTGCGCGGTGTTTTGCAGCTTTCAAAGAAAACAACATTCACAGCGACAGAGACAAGAGAAAGCACATGGTGGGCATGTGATGTGTGCAGTCAATGTCACCCAGTGTCGACTCAGTGCTTGCAAATTGGCAACATGACATCAACTTACAATTTGTCTGATAGATTTCGGTCCAAGGTCCAAGGTTCAAAGTCCGAGGTTTGGATCCACATGCTTCCTTCTCCCAGCATCCCGGACACTGCTTATGCCTGGGGCCTAGTTTGTTGCCAGCGCTTTTTCGTCCATCAAGTTGTATTAATATCACACATCAGGGAAATTTTGATTCTAGAGCGCAATTTCTGAGGCAGGCGCAGTGGCAGTCATGGAGACTTTGATTCCATGGGCGCCAGCCTGAGATGGGCACATTCAAGTATGCACTGCTCTGCTGCATTCAGCCGGCGTCACTCAGGTTCGAAAGGAGCTGCCCAAAGCTTTCTCCAAGGCCAAGGACATGCATAAGTCTAGCCCCCTGACCATTGTGAGCTCGGCCAAGATGAATGACAACGCCGGCTTCAAGGAGAGAGATGATCATCAGTCATCGTCATGGCTGAAACGGCTATTATAGCATGGGTGGGTTTTTGAAATTTGATTAATTGACTTAGAAGATATCAGTGCATGCTTTGCAGCCATCATGACATTGTGACATTGATCCAAGCCAAGCTACTCAGCATTGACAGGCTGGCGTGTGGTCAGCAGAGGAATGCAACACATCTTTGACAGCAAGTGGCATCTACGAAGCCTCTGGCTTGGCTTTCTGGCGTCAGACCGGTACATTTGGGGCCAATGCTACTGAGGACATCAACTGGGCCAACCTTGACGGGTTCAAAGAGAGGTTCTTCTCCAAGCGGGCTGCCTTCAATGCGTTTGTCACCCGAATGGTCGGCACCAAGAAGCAGAAGAGCGAGCGGAAACGCATCCTTTGGCCAACAACCACGATTTGCAGCGTGGATTCCGTGATAACTGCTTGCAAGGACTTTTTTGAGGGATCTTTGCCATTGATTGGGCCTGGGAAATTTGTTCTCTGGGCATGGTACTTGGCAGTGCACGAAGCCATCAGGGCCGGAGTGCCTCATTTTTGATTCAGGCATATTTGTACGTTTTCTTTTCAAAGTCTTGTTGCCAAACAAAATGTGCAAGCAACAAGAAACTAATTCAAGACTACTCAGCTCGTTCCCCTTGCTATTTTATTGCATTGCTTCTATTTCAGCATGTATTAACTTGTTTGGGTGTCAGATGTTCCCAGCATGTCAAGTTTCTACTTCAGGACAAAGACCATCTGGATCTCCTTTGGGAAGCAGCTTTGTCGGTGACGGTCCAGGTTCGCTTTTGTTCAGGATTGCAGGAGAACAGCCTGGCAAGGAACTTACAGTCTGAGGCAGTGAAGGCATTGGGCCATGCTTCTCTTAGCGACAGCTTCGCTGTGTTTTCTCGGCTGGTGAAGGAATTGCAGACTGAAAAGGTCCAGGATGGTGTTGCTTTGGGCTTAGCCTACAATGGTACTGTGTACAATGCTGCAATACACAAGGCTGCCCTTGTGCTTGGTGGCATCCTGGATCAAACAGGCCAGCCTGTGGAGAACGCTTTGTCCAGGCTGGAGTTACAGTTCGGCCGTGACATTCTCAGCAGCGGATATTCCAAGCTGTCAAAGATGATTGCCTATGGAAGATCTGTGGGAACGACATGGTCCACCATCCATGGTCCGCGGTCCGCACCTGAAATCGTTTCTTGGATGATTGAGATGCTTATCCTGGCGTTCAAAACGAAAATGCGGCTTCCCAGCAAAGCCACGGAATCCTGGTTGGACAAGGACCGGAAGACAGGAGTGGCAGGCTTTTGGCAGGTCACAGGAGTGATTCTCCAGGCCGGGTGTCTTGAGGCATGGACGGGATAATCTTTTTATTCTCGGAAATATACTGTACCGTCCGTTCAATGTTTATTCACAAGCCTTTTGGGCTAGGCTCCTAGCTCCTAGGTCTCTTGTCATTTAGCCTTTGGCATGTGGACAGGTATTCGAATATTCCGAGAAGTTGATTGCAAAGCTCCCCGAGCCCGAACTGTCGAAAGCAAAAGCAACTCTCGAAGATTTGCTGTCCCCGGCGCAGTGCTGGGAGAAGTTCCTTTGCCCAGATGAAAAAGCCGCAGCCGAAGTTGGGTGCTCGCACGAGGATGATATCGACGAAGAGTGCGCAGTATTGGTGCCAACAGGCTCCATGGCTTTGGTCAAGGAGAGCTTCAACAAAGCAACTGGTTTGCTGCTTGATATCCTGTTGGACCTCGTCGCTGGAAAACATTTTTCCGATTGTCAGGAGCTTGCTTCCCAAGCTGGTGGAATTATCAAAGCCTTGCAGAACATGGGTGGCCAAGAAGACTTCGAGCTCCTCAAGCAGTTGAAGATTGTGACGGACATGTTTGATGGCCAAATCCATTTCCCCAAGCACTGCTGCACCTGCCCCAAGCCTGCTGACCCAGTTGACTGCCCAAGGGAAGCTTGATCATGAGGCCGATGCAGAACGTGACAGTCACTGGAAAATGATCCAATCTGAGAGGAGAAGGTTTGTTAGCTTTGGAATCCCCAAGTCTTGGTCCAAAGAAAGTTTTCTGGCATCCTTCAGAGCTTCTGGGAAGGTTTTCGCACATTCTGGCCAGCTCAACAGCAATCACAGATTGATTTGTGCATCTGCTGATCTTTTGGTTGAGCACGGCGATGAGCCTTGGGCTACCCCTTCTGTTCCTCCACCAAACCTTTGGAAAGAGATTCTAGCTTTCATGGGCTCCAGCGCCACCGGGCCAGCAGACTTCGTGATGGCATTTGATGGGAGGATGCGTGAAATGTGCCGCCTGAGTGCAGCTTGGCTTGGGCCATCTAGTTAGCCATTGCATGGGAGTGCATCAACTTTGATTTTAATACTGTCGCGTTGTCAGTTTGATCGTGGGCTCTTGCTTTCTGTTCTTTGCTGCGCCACAGAGCCCGCAAGGAAGATGATCTGCTCAGCCAAGCCCATGCCTGTGAAGGTGCAATTGTTTACACTGGGGAGATCCCGTAAAGTTCCCTTGTCTGGCAGAAAGTTGGGGCCATCAGATGCCCCGTGCAGCGGTCCCGCATCAAGGTATCGAAAAAGGAGACCTGCACCGCGTGCGGCGAAGAAAGCACATACCAGGGCACCTACACAGGTGTTTCGTATCGAGCCTGCAGTGAAATCCCATTGATTTCCATGCAAGAGAAGTCCAAGCTGCTGGATCCAAACAACCTCTTGTCAGTGCCTAAGCTCCCAGAGGACTGGGTGGAACGCAATGGAGAAGATTGTCCGCTGTTGTGGCTGGCATGAATCCAAGCCCATTGCCTTGTGGTGTGCCTTGCTTGACGAATGGAAAGTTCATGCAGTTCTGGATTGTAGCCCTGGAAGTGGTGCCCTAATGGAAGCAGCTCTCACACGTGGCATTGTCTACCATGGCTTCTGCCTTGACCTGAGTTGGCTGTGTCACATGATTATAATTATAATCTAATCACATCAGGCCAGCGCCGGTTCATCACAGCTAAATGGATGGTCGATGTGACAATTTTTTCAAGGTCTGAACAAAGAGCACCTGCAGTGGCGCCAGGCTATCGCTGACAGAGCAGCGTGCAGACTCATTGCTGTGGAGGGGAGCTCCTTATTTTCCGAGGAGAATGCCACTGCAGTGAAGAAATCATTTCCAGACGTCATTGCTTGTTTGGCAAAAGGCCAGGAAGATGAAGAAGACAATGCTCAGCCTTTCGAGCCAGAAAGCCCAAATGAGTGAGCCGGCATGGGTAGAGCTGGCTCATGGTCTAAGGTCCAGGGCCCACGGTCCAAAGTTCATTCTGCTCCCTCATCATGATTTGACTGGATATAAACAGCTCGTTTCAGCCAGCTCTGCTACCTTGCAGGCCTTTAGCAGCAAAAGGCTTTCCAATGGATTTGTTCCATTCAATTTTGATATATATTTTTCCCATTCCATTCAATAGGATCAAATTGCAGCAGCTCCTAGAAGACAAACCACCACCTTGATTCAAAAGGCGTGTTTGCCAGTGGTGAACTTGCAGTCCATTGAGTTTTTTTGTTTCTCAGCGGTCTATAGAAAAGCAGCCTTGGATGTCAGCAAATGACCCTTCTAGGTGTCAAATCCAGGAAATGCAGCAGTGAAAGGTGATTTGCTTACATTGAAAGGTGTGAGATGCAGGCAGGTGAGTTCTGAGGGTTGAGATGAGTAGGAGCCTTATAGAAAAGCAGCCTTGGATGTCAGCAAATGACCCTTCTAGGTCTCAAATCCAGGAAATGCAGCAGTGAAAGGTGATTTGCTTACATTGAAAGGTGTGAGATGCAGGCAGGTGAGTTCTGAGGGTTGAGATGAGTAGGAGCCTTATAGAAAAGCAGCCTTGGATGTCAGCAAATGACCCTTCTAGGTCTCAAATCCAGGAAATGCAGCAGTGAAAGGTGATTTGCTTACATTGAAAGGTGTGAGATGCAGGCAGGTGAGTTCTGAGGGTTCAAGGTCCAAGGTCCAAGGTTCGCAGTAGGGGTTCACCAGGGGCGTGGCCAGCAAGCTGCTCCTCATGGTTCTGCGTGCTGCCTTCTGTCCAAAAATCAGACTGCGATGCAAGACTACCATTGAAGCAATTGCGAAGACCAAGGTCAAAACAGCCCAGCCTTCCCAGTGCAGCGACCATGTGAAAAAAGGCAAAGCAGCCAAGCCGCAACAAAGTGGACGCAAGTCCCTTGTGAAGACCAAAGGCAAAACAGCCAAGCCTAGGCAGAGTGCCAGGCGCATGGCAGTGAAGCAAAGTTTGGTTCCCAAAGTTTTTGGGTGAGAACACCAAAGTGAAGAAAGGAGCTTCAAAGTCTGAGTATCAAGCAGAGATGCGAAGAGGTGCGGCGCTTTGGAAACAATTAGATGACAAGCAGAAGGCTCCTTTCCACAAAAAAAGCCTTGAAGAATTCCAAGTACAAAGGGACGCAATGGGGCGTTTGGGCTTCGATGTTCGGAAGTGCTTGCCGCCGGGCAAGTGCGAGGATCGCTGTGAATCCGAGCTAGCCCCCCGGAATGCTTTGCCCCATGCCCAGCGCAAGTTCCGCATTGGCAGTTACACCGTCGTAGAGGATCAGCTGGGTAGTGGCTCTTATGGAAAGGTATTTTCTTCCTGCTGCCCAAGTGGCCGGTCTTCTGCCATCAAAGTCTACCGCAGCCGGCAAGCACATCATGAGGCAGCGTTTGAGCTTGCTACTTACGAGGAGCTCGGGAAGCTGGCAATGCCGCATTGCCAATGGTTTCCTATGGTCCTGGACTTTGACACCTCAGGACAACCATGGCCCTGGTTGGCACTGTCCTACACTGGGGTTAGTTTGGCAGCCCGCTTGAACGCTGGAGGCCCAATGCCCCAAGACTTGGTTGAACACTTGTTGCTGCAATTGGAGGCTGCAATCTGCGTGTTGCACGATGAGGCCAAACTCTTGCACTTGGACATCAAGCCGGCTAACATTCTGTGGTGCAGTGAGCTGCGAGAGCTGCGGCTGTGTGACTTCGGCATGTCAGAGCCTGCATCTCGCCTTCCAGGTCCACAATCCACGGTCCACGGTTCATCCAAATCTTCGGCACCGCAGGGAGAACGGGCAACAGCTGAGCCACGCTTCACAGAATATGTGACGCCCTTTTACCGACCACCCGAGCTGTGGAATTTGGTGTCTGGACCAGTGGCTTTGCAGGCAGCATTGACCAGGGCAGTGGATTTGTGGAGTTTTGG